AATCAATTGCATGCTTTGTGGTAGAGCTTTGGCAGAGTTTTGTTGAATGGGTCACAAAAATGCTGTGTTTGGTTAATGTTTGGAAATTGCTTGTGCTATTTGAATGTTGCAGCTGAAACTTGAATTCCTGATGATTCAGCTTCTTTATTAGGGCCCGTAATAGAGATGGGGGGGCTTAACAATTGTTTTTGTTTGTGGCCCCTCAAATTTAATACAGTCCTGTTGAAATTAGGTTGTTGTTGGTGGTTGTTTTTTTGTTTGTTTTTTGGAACGAGGAAATCAGTTTTTAGCCTTTAAAGGGATAGTTCTCCCCAAATTAAAAAAAAAAATCTATCAGTGGAGCACAAAAGAAGATACTTTCAAAAATGTCTTGGTGTTTTTTGGACATTCAGTGACAGTCAATGTGGTCCAGTGTAGATTGGACCCCACTCACTTTCATTGTATGGATGAGAAGAGTTTAGAATGACACAAGGGTGAATAAATGACAAATGTTTCATTTTTGGGTGAACTATCTCTTTAAACATCTTGTGACTGGTATATATATTTAATAATTGAAATTAAATATCAAAATCATCAGACTAAGCAATTTTATGTGCCATTTCATAAATAATAATTGCTGTTAATTGTGGTCATAGTCTGTTTGATTACGTCTTTAATAGATTTTTCCATACATTTCTGCCATATGTACATTTACTGACATAGTCACCACTGATAAGCTACTACTAAATATATTGTAGAAACATATATTGTACAGCTGCTTTGCAACGATGTGTATTGTAAAAGGCGCTATACAAATGAACATGAATTGAATTGAATAAATAAAGGCTTAACACTTATACCGTGTCTACACCGGACGCGAGTGCGGCGCAACGTGACAAAATACAATAGATCCCATTCAAATCAGTGATGCTGTTTACACTGGATGTGTTGCGGCATGACACGACAAATCCACAACAGTAAACGGATACCTCATTCTATTTATGATGTACTGACACAAAGTTCAAATGATTTCCAACAGTCGCTTGTCATGTCCAGGGTAAACAGAATTTAGCTGTTGCGGCACAATGCGAGGTGACAACTGTCGCATCTGGTGTACACACAGTGTTCTTGCAGTTCCCTGGTATTTTTGATTCAAGATTTGAAAGAAATGCTGGGAAGGTAAACTGCGTTACTTGGGTTGCAAACCTGATTTAAAACAGGCCTATTTAAACAGGGATTTTTTTTACTTTGAAACATTGGAGGCTTTGTTTTTGCCTGTATTTTTTTTTTTTTTTACTTTTGTCAGACCAGGCATTTGTCAGTGGATTAAAAGGCTAGTTGGCATCTTGTCTCTGGAGTAGTTTTATGTCTGAGACCCTCATTACACCTGCCTTGAATACCAATCCACAGTCTATTATGCACTAATCATGGACTTCACCTCTCTGCTAAAAAGAGGAAAGAGGCAACCCCTGAACAATTCAAACAAATGGCACAGAGGCATTTCACATTTTTCAAGGTTCAACTTCCAATGATTTGTAGGAAAAACCGTTTAAGTTGTTTATTGACATTAATGACGTTTTAATTTAGTTTCAAGTTTCATGTTTTCACCTCATTTTCATTAGATTGCAACCAGAACAGGCATGGAACGGTCTTAAAATAAATGCAATAATGAGATACACTTCGTGGCTTGAGGTAATTATGGCTCCTGTGGTATTATATGTGGTTTTGGGTTAAATTTGGCACTTTAAACCAGAAGTTTTGGGGGATTTAGAAGAAAATAACTGGAGCAAATAAAACTTGGAGGCTAAAAGGGAGAGTTCTAGAAACTCGTGGATTCTTTAAGACCAAACAATATATATATATTCAAGAAGGATCATAAGAAGCTGTCTGAAAATGAAGCACCAGAAGCGGGTTTCTCCATATGTTTTTGGTCATTGGATTGGTGTCGAGGTTTCACAGATGAACCATTGATTTAAAACTAGTGGAGGATTAGTAGATTTTTAATCCTGTTGTTAGCAGCCTGATACATCAGCGCGACCGCTCTCCAGCCCTCAGTCCACAGAGCTTTAAGCTGCTGAAATCCCATTGTGTGCTTGAGTAATGTATTATTATGAATGTGTGAAACAGACACTGGCACCCTGATTGCAGTTGCTGCTTTACTGTTTATTCAATCTGTCGAAGAAAAAAAATTATGTATTTGAGTGTATAAACTGTTAACTCAGGAAATTTTCTTTAAGCCTCCTGTTGAGTTCTGACAATAAGCAACTTTACACTTCTACCATTTAGCAAGATGAATTGAGCAAGACGGGCCTTGGCGGTTAAAACCCACGAACAATTTTCAGACATGCACTCTATTATTCATTTCACACATTTATGTCAAGCAACTACAAGTTCACTTGTAGTCTTCAACTGATAAGATTGAAGATAAGATAAGATAAGATAAGATAAGATAAGATAAGATTGAGATAAGATTCTCCTGATAGTCCAGGAGAAAAAAACAGTTCGGCAAGCTAATACTTTAGCTGATCAACCACCTTGGACCAGCTTGGACCAGCTAATGACCATAAATTAAACCATGTCAAATCAGCTACTGGTTTAAGCTGGGTTTTCCAGCAGGGTTGCAATTACTGCTTTGAAAATGACCAGCACAACTCCTCCTACATTTTGTTCAATTAGAGACTGATGTTTTGTATTAGCTATGCAAGGGAATAGCGTCTCCTCATGGCAGTGTAATTCAGCTGGTAGTGAGGGCAGTAATCTAGCGTGTGAGTCAGGGCTCAGTGCCAGCCTGCAAGGCCATTTCCAATTCTTTGTCTCTAGTGGTGACATTAAAACGTAATTGGCTTCTGCTTCTTCTGCCAACTGTAGTGGCTCCCATAACATTAAGGGACTTTGGCTGCTCAGAGTACTAAGTTTGTGAATGTGGTGGCTGTAGCCATTCAATCCAAGCTAAATGTCTCATTCTCTATATTCCCTTCTGGCACTTTGAGTTGTATGGGGGTTTTGTCCTTACTGTTTTTTTTCTTAGAGGATTTTGTATTTACTTGTTTATTAAAGATAGAGAATAACCGGTCCTAAAGAAAATCTCTTTTTTTTTTAAATACCAAAATGAAATGTCATGCATTCTTATGCTGATAATACTGATATGTACTGAAATACTAAAACCCCGCTACTTAATGTAGAGTGTAAAATAAAAAGCGTGACCGGTGTAGTCTGATTCCCGAATGAATGACATTTATGAACCGGTTCTTTTGAACGAATTACAAACATTCAACACTGTCAGTATAGTGCGATTCCAGAACAAATTACTTTAAAGAGCGGTTCTTTTTTGGAAATGAGAAACATGCTGCACAAATATAGTCCGGACCCTGAACGAATGATTGTAATGAGTTTTGTAATTAATCAATCACACACAGCTTAGAACTGACCGTGAGATTAGCTGGTTCCCAGCTAACAGAGAACATTATGAGAACATTCTGGCAAGGTTCTCTCAAAATTATATACAAACATTATTCCAGTAATTTAAATAGAGCATTCATTTAAAACGATCTTTAATAATGTTATTAAAACAAAAACATTATTTATACATGGTTCATGGAATGTTTTGGGATGGAATGTTTTTTTTTTTCCTGAAATGTTTTAGTTAGGGTTACATTCACCTAACATTTTTAAACGTTACTACTTGTTTCAGAATATTTAGAGAACATTAAAAAGTGACATTCCCATAAACTTTACAAAATTATAAAATGGAATATTCTCTTAACATTCACATAAACAAAAAACAAAACAAAAAACACACTTTTTAAAAAAAAATTGACATTTTGAATGTTTTGAGAACATTCAGAAATATGCTTATTCATAACTTAATGTGAACGTTAGCGAAACGTTCTTGGAACATATTTTTGTTAGATGGGTTGTTCATATTACATATAGCTACCTAAAGATAAACATTATGAATTTTTCCAGTCATAGTTTGAAAATGAATGAAATATGTTTAATATAGTATAGTAAAGGCCAAGTATTTTAGAAATTCATGCTGTGACTGAAAAAAGACTGAAAAGTCTGTGTAACACAGCTTTGGCAAGAAGTGATTTCAATTGACTTATTATTGAAATTATGTTTTATAGAATAGAATAGAAATTGGCTATGGAGTCACACTTTTTTCCTAATATTTCATCAGAATTGAAATTTCCATTTTTCTTTGTTGATCAATGGGCTTGAACACCTCGTGATGTTATGGAGATGTGATCTTCACAGAGGCAGTGCTTGAAGACTGATCCATCAGTGTGCCAGCTTGTTGGCTCTCATATTCTCATCTATGGAAGCATATCCCTCATATATGGAATATGATCACGCGCTGCTGTTTCCCATTACTCAACACAGCACACTGTGAAACTGTAGGAGACTAAAACATCTGTCAAAGGGAACAATGGGGTCATAATGCCCATAAATGAGTGGAAATAACAGACTTATGGCTTGAGTTCTGCTGAACAATACATATTGCGGTTAAGCAGCTTGCAGTTTAATCAAATGGAATAATAAAAACTGGGTAACCCTTGATTCTCATCCAGTCATTACTGCCCTGATGGTTCGGGAAGGACTAAATGAGGCCTGATACATTATATGTGGGGGTTCAGTGATATTAGGCATGGATCGGACCAGGAGGAAATTCATGGGAGATTAGTATGTGAATATGGTTTTTGCAGGCCGTGTGTACACACTAGATCTCAACAAGCCTGCCAGAATCATTTTTCTTAAAGCAATGAAACACTTTCTACCTCAGTCATCATTGTGGAATGGAGCCAAGGGCATCGCTTGTGCAGAAAGACAATGCATTAACTGAGGAAATGATTTGGAAAGGAAAGACTGCGATTTTTTTACATTATTTCAACAACTTGTCTGTGTTACATAATGATGTTCTCAGAATGGTTTGAGTGCAATATCATAGTGGATAACATAGTGTGTTCTTGTCTTTCTCTCTATTCCTTTCCTGTCTGTTTTTCTATTTCCCCTCTTCCCAGACTCGGACCTTAGCATGCGAACAGTGAGTACGCCAAGTCCGGCTCTGATTTTGCTGCCTCGTTCATCTCCAGGCGTGCTTAATGGCTCCTCCACGTCTTCCTCCACGTTCGGCATGGAAACCATCGCCATGGTCCACACGCCGCCCACTTCCCTCACCCATCCGCAAAGGAGTCTGCGACAGCCGAGGGACCAGCAGGGGGCGCCCATCGACATCCTTCCTGACCATGCTTTCCTGCAGATCTTCACCCATTTGCCCACCAACCAACTGTGTCGGTGCGCCCGTGTTTGCCGCCGCTGGTACAACTTGGCCTGGGACCCGCACTTATGGAGGACTATTCGTCTGACAGGAGACGTGCTACATGTGGACCGTGCGCTTCGGGTTCTCACTCGCAGACTGTGCCAGGACACCCCCAATGTGTGTCTCACCCTGGAGACGGTGGTGGTCAGCGGCTGTCAGAGGTTGACCGATCGAGGACTGTACACGGTGGCACAGTGCAGCCCAGAACTGCGTCGCTTAGAGGTGGCTGGCTGTTACAACGTGTCCAATGAGGCCGTGTTTGAGGTGGTGTCACGCTGCCCCAACCTGGAACACCTGGATGTTTCAGGTAATTCATCTTGGGTGATAATGTTTGGTTGTGTTAGTATTTATCTGTTCTAAACAGTCGCTGCCCACATTGAACACAATACCTCAGTTTCAGCCAATCATAAGGTATTTAATGATTAATTTACAGTTGTAGTAGGATTTTGGACCAATGAGATTTCTCAATGGGAGGGGTTACCCAGCTACAAAACAGAAAGGAAGCGACCATCAAAATAGTTAGATTCACATGAAAGACATTGTGATCGTTACATTTGGCTTGGTTAGGACACAGTGTAAAAGTCATGATAATAGTGATGAATTTAATTATTGGAAATAATCTGTGTTGATAATATACGGTCTTGGGGAGTAACTTGTTACATGTAAAGGAATTACGTAATTTAATTACAAAATAAATGTTCCTGTAATCTGTTACAGTTACTGAGAAAAATGTGTAATTAAATTGCAGTTACTTATGAAAATGTTAATGATTACAAAGGGGGTTACATCTGAATATTTTCAGACACATACAGATTTGATTGATTTCTTACCAAAATTGCATTGACTGCTCTAAAATAATAGACACCAATGTTTCAGGAGTTTAGGACACAGAATAGGACACATGCTTATTTGATAACTGTTTTATTTCCTATTTGGGCCTGTGTATATGCATTATTTTTTAAATTAACTGTTTTTTTCCCCCAAGGCATTGTTAGATGCCAGTGATTCCTGTCGTAGCTGTGCAAAGATTTGATTTCAAAAACAGTATCATAACTTATAAACTGTAGTTTGTTATGATTTTAAATCTGTATTTTACCTCAGAACGACCTCAAAGTAAAAAGAGGTGCTAAAGTCTGATTTTGTGGTGGCTGTGCTTTAAAATTAAATTATTATAATCTTAATTCAAGTGATGAAGGATTATGAATGTCTGACAGTAATCAGTGTTGAGTACTACTGTGAGGTTTACCCTCCCTGCTTTAAATGTTTGAGAATGGTTAACAGTTTAGAAAATTGTAGAAAAAATGTAGAAATTAGAATTTTGAAAAGTAATCAAAACAGTTACACTACTTATTACATTTTAAATAGGGCAACTTGTAATCTGTAACCTACATTTTCAAAGTAACCTTCCCAGCACTGATAATACATTTTTAACTAACCATTTATTTATAATGGATTTGTTTCTGTACACATTTTAATCTTGAATTATTTCAACTGGTTTTGCTTCAGAACCCAGATTTTATGTTAGACATAAAGTGGTCCCAAAACAGCACCAAACTTGTTTATTGTGCAAAATGTTTGTATCTACATGACACAATATGAGCTGCATAGGCCCAACAGTATGCAAAATTATTTAAATTATTCCTGGTCTACTCTGAACAGGAAAATTGACCAATTTTGGTTTATGAAAGTCTCTTGAATTTCAGTGGTCTTATGGTCTTGGCAGCCAATAATTCACTGCACATATCAAATTGTGGTTGGCACAGACTCTGTTTATCTTCATTGCAAGTGAACCCGGATTTAATCTAGACTGGGTTGTTTCTTTTACCTTGTGACCACTAAAAACAATTCACTCAGAAATTGCTAGTATATTTCACAATTAATAACAAAGAGCAGCACCACATTGAATTAGACATGGATTTTTTAAAGTAGAAATTATATATTTTTAATTGTACTCCAGTAATCTTTCATTTACAACTTTGAAAACTTTTTTTTTTCAGTGTAGTTTTGTTCATGTTTTCAAGGATGAGAAACTATAGATGAATTTTATAATTTGCATTTATCTCAATTTGTATTTTCCCCAGCAGTTCACTACCAGAACAGACCTGTGACCCAGTTGAGAACCACCGGTTTAACATTTGGCATAAAAAGCAGAAATAATGAAGTATTTGAGTCTGTACTAACACAGTTATATTCAATTTGACATTCTCAACAAAACATGTCAGTAATGTAGCTGTGTTGGTCTACAAACTCTCCGAAAACACAGAAGGATTTTTAGTCAGCTGTATAAATGACTTCCTGACTCAGAGCCAAACAGCCTGTGCTTCACCTGCTTTGTTGTCCAGCACAGAAGACAGTCAAGTCTTTTTTTTTTCTCTCACAGAGATTATTCTGAAATGTCCAGGACTTCCTCTTGGAAAAGCTGGAAAAGATATTAATAGCTCTGGCATTCTGTCTGCGCTCTCTATACTTCCCAAAAGAAACATAAGCCCAAGCAGAACCAGGACCTCTGACTTTAAGGTGCTTAGGGAAAATCTGCTACCCTAATTTAGAGAATCAATGACCAACTGTCTTTTGTATCAAATTAATTGCTTTAAAGGTAGACTATTTAATGTGCATATAACTCTAAATAGCTTTTATATTAATATTTGTCCACTTGTCCAGTATATATTATAGTATAGTATATTTATATAGCTTTCTCTGTTCATGTTTTTAATTACTTTTTCTGGCAACCTTTTATCCGTTTTCTTTTCAATTTTCTTAGAAGCATTATATTTCACAGATGACCATATAGGCCTAGAAGTTTACAATTTAGGACTTAGTGAATGAGTATGTCAGAAAATAATACTCCTTCTCCTCATGTCCTCAAGTCCCTTCCCTGGTGTTTTATTTCCAACTTCCTGTGCTGCACTTCCTGTTGGAGCATGTTGTTTTTCCTGTGTGAGTGCAGGGGTCCGGCTGGGGTCCCTCTGCCGTTGCACTGGAGTGCTGCATTCTCCTAAAGGAGACGCGGGGAGATCCCATCCCCCACCCCTCCTGATATAACTCATTTCAGATGTCTCTCCAAGGTTTAGATCAAACCCTTCGCTGCCGTTTTCATGTTCTTCAGATATTCTGCAATAACCTTCAGCTTTAGTTCTACTGTAAAGGCTTTTGTTTGTCTGATGTTGGTGTTTCATAAGTTAAATCAGATGACAGAGGTGAAGAGCAGTCAGCAGAGCAGATACATTTCTCAGATGGCATGTTTCACATCAAGACTTTCTTCTGTGATTTCTGTAAAAACAGATCTAAAAGCAAACATTTGGTATTTCTTTTCATGTGCATCTGACAGCATGAAAAAGTCTTTAGTCTTTTGGGAATAAAAATGATCACATACACATGGTTCTGAAGAAATGTTTTGGGACTTTTCTTTTTCATAATGGTCAAAACAGTCCCTATAATTTATCTTCAAAGACTTCGTTTAAAGCTGAAATGTGTCATTCTTGTTAAAATACTTTCTCCTGTGTCAACTTAATATGCAGATACAATTATACAGTAAGTAAAAAAAACTTTTGAAGAAAAAGGTATTATCCACGAGTGCATCTGGTTCACAAATAAGAAGAAATAAGAAAAAACTAAGGGTGCTCCAAAAAGGCTAAAAAATATCTCATATTATGTCCTTATGAGAGCATACTTCCATATCCAAGTAGATTTAGATATAAAAAAAAAAAAAAACATTATTAGAGGGGCTACACCTTTTTAACTATTTTTAATATATTTTAATATAATTGATATTTATTATATTGAAATCTATGTGAGTGCCTGGATGTGAAAGTATGCAAGGAGATATAAACTAATGTATTTTTTTTAAAGCATGTATATTAATATGTTAATTCTAAAGCTTATATTTGTTGTATATTATATTTTCAGTATATTAATTTAAATTGTAGGGGAATTTACAGTTAAAACCCAAGGAGCAGGTGTGTTGAATGAAGACCAGGAGTCAGAGATGCAATCAATTGAAGAAAAATGTACTGAAGAAAATAGTTTGCCGTTTCAGGCAGAAGTCAGCTTCAGTACTCACAATGGAGTTCGTAGGCCGCTCTGCGTACATCTTAACAACACCAATAATTATACTCTAACAGAGGTTGCTAATTGCGTCAATGCATAGGTAAGCAAGATTCTGATTGGTTCTAAAACCTATAGATAAAGACAGAGATCTGAGGTCAGACGCAATAGGTCTCTCCAGAGACGTGTATCTGATACCCTGGACATCAGGGTGACGGCAAATGACGGTTTCCTCCTAGGGCTGTCTCCGCATCTAGCTGCAAAGACAAACTCACACACACACATACGCAGAGAACACTTATGTGTACTTCAAGGTTGCTGGGCTCTGCCCTGAATCTGATCCAATATGGTTCACTACACACACACAATGAGAGCAGCTTCTTAGAAAATAAAAAGGCAGACTAAAGCCATATTCAACTTATTTTCTAACATGCATAAATTTTACTTTGATTAATAATTATTCAAGAAGAAACAAATATATATATTATGAAGGTCACGATGTCTCCAGGATTACACTCCTTCAAAACAATAAATAATGTTTTAAATCTATATTAACATTTATTATAATATAATTGCTTAAGAGTAATCCATTAAACATTGTAGACAGACTTAACTGAAGTAAATTAAAATTTTATAATATAAAAATATATTATCATAATATTATATAATCTTTTATTTATATTTATAAATATAATTACATAAATAATATAATATATAGTAACTATATATTACCTGTATAAAAATACAATTGATATTTATCATTATTTGTGCTATTTAATTTGTTGATGCTAGAAGCACAGAAACTACACACTTTATCTTTAAACAACAAAACAAAGTTTTGGTAAATTTTTCAAATCAGGTTCTGAATTGTACATATTGTGTGTGCAGTTTAAATTTATTCTTCTATAATTCTGTCTTTGTTCTCTGCAGGGTGCTCTAAGGTGACCTGCATCAGCCTGACACGGGACGTGTCCTTCAAACTCTCCCCTCTTCATGGGCAGCAGATCTCCATCCGCTATCTTGACATGACTGACTGTTTTGCTCTGGAAGACGAAGGCCTGCACACCATTGCCGCCCACTGCACTCAGCTCACCCACCTCTACCTGCGGCGCTGTGTGCGCCTGACTGATGAGGGCCTGCGCTTCTTAGTCATCTACTGCCCGTCCGTGCGGGAGCTCAGCGTCAGCGACTGCCGCTTCATCAGTGACTTTGGCCTGCGGGAGATCGCCAAACTAGAGGGCCGCCTGCGCTACCTCAGCATAGCGCACTGCGGCCGCATCACAGACGTGGGCGTGCGCTACATAGCCAAATACTGCAAAAGACTGCGGTACCTGAACGCTCGTGGCTGCGAGGGGCTGACAGACCACGGCATCGAGCACCTTGCCAAGAACTGCCTCAAGCTCAAGTCCCTGGACATCGGGAAGTGCCCACTGGTGTCGGACGCCGGCCTGGAGCAACTTGCACTAAACTCGTTCAACCTGAAGAGACTGAGTCTGAAGTCGTGCGAGAGCATCACAGGCCGCGGGCTGCAGGTGGTGGCAGCCAACTGCTTCGACCTGCAGCTGCTGAATGTACAGGACTGTGACGTGCCACTGGAGGCGCTGCGCTTTGTCAAGCGTCATTGTAAACGCTGCATCATTGAACACACCAATCCAGCCTTTTTCTGAGAGCTGCACGCATGGGATTGTGTGGATGGATTTGAGAAGACCTCAAATCTGTTTTGACCCGGGCCGGTGACGTCTCTGCTAGACAACACAGCGGAGATTTGCACTGCTGCACCTCTGTATTTAATTTGCATGGTTGGGAGAAATCTGAACTTTTTTTTTTATCCATTTATTTATATTTTTATTCACTTATATTTTTGATTACTCTTCTTGTCTATGTCAGATTGTATTACGTGTAACGTAAATTTCATCATGAATGCAATTTGTTGGCGCGTAGAGGATTACATGATGTGACGTTAACCAGAAATGAAACTAGACATATTTTGCAGCAGTCCACAGTTCGCTTTTTGTTGTTGTTGTTGTTTACATTTGATATCTCTGTTATGAATGTTTTGCTTTGTTTCATCGTGTATGCCTTGTAATAGCTTGGTTTCTATCTTGGTTTCATTGCCCAGAAATATTACCAAACAGTGCCATTTTGCTGTGACGTTCACCTTTTGTAATGGTCAGTAAGGCTTTTTCAGGTGTTTAACAAATGGAAGACCACAGTGGAATAAAGAGGTCTAAGCCATATTAAACAAAATCATAATGTCTGCTTTTAATTAGCTAACCTGCATTAGCCAGTGTTCTGTCGACTTGTGCAACCCAGTCAGATTTAGCTACCTCCCATTAAAACAGTAGGTAGTACAATTCGACAACGAAAATGCTACATGTCAAATTATGGTTTATTAACATCTACACCTACCCCAACCCTAAACCTACCCCTTACAATAATGCAAATACAGTAATTATTGTTGTTCCGCGTGAGACAAAGCACGCAGTATTGATGTGCGCATGTGCAGTAAGCCCTGGTATGACAATCTGAGGGGTAGGATAAAATGTCAGGACACCTGGTCTAGGAATGAAAACAAAACAAAAAAACAGCAAAATATGCAATTACATTGGTTGTCAACCTGTGGGCTGCAGCCCCCTTAAGGACCAGGGAAGTACTGCAAGATGCTTTTGATTAGTGTTTTTTTCCCCTGCAAATAAGATATATTAGTCAAAATAAAATAGCATAATTTTTTTTAAATAAATTGTTATATTGTCATATTATATTAATATAGTAGGTGGGCTGCAGAATATTTTGTACTTGGGTAAAAAGATAACCCTGGACTCAAAGAATATCAGGTTTTTTTTAGGAGAACAGGCATCTCCTAATTACCTTAGGCATTGTGTGATTTTTATTTTCAGGCAGTATGCATCATTTATTATGAAACATTCCAAACAAAGCTGTTTTCACAGTTACTTTGGATTAATCTGTTTTAGCTATCATTTAGTCGCTAACCGACACCTTGGTCAATTGCCACAGAACACAGCTAGCTGGCTAGGCAGTTGTGATAAAATAAAGGGAAATGTAATCAGATTCATTTGAGCCTGACTTTATTTCCCAGTGATAAAACAGCTGAGAACAGCAGCACAGTCCAGTGTAATATTACATCCCAGAGCAGCAGTGCAGGCCAGGCTAACAGACAATATACAGCTGATTAACATCACAGCAGTTCAGAACAGTTTCCCAAACTGTTAGGGAAATCCCCAAATATGAACATTTTAGTGTCTTCTGCAGGAAATTAGGATGCTTTGCATGGAGAAATGGTGTCACTGTGTTTGCATCCTTGTGGAGTGAAATACATGTTCAGAATTCTAAACAGTTAATGACAATGGATTGCAGAGTTTGATACAGAGTTATTTAAAGGACAATAATTTTTTTACATAATCATTGTTTTTCAGAACATCTTACATTACAATGTCAAACACAACAGGTCCTGCACAGACCAGCAGACCTTATCAAATAACATCTGACTAAATCAACTCAAAAATTCAAATTAAAAAAATTGTATTTTGCATTACACGCATAAAAAAACACAGACCTGCCTATTTTCTGAAACTGCTGTCTGTGGTTCTGCAGGATTAAAACTTCCCATCTGAGAATTCTGGCCTGAAACTGCTGTCACGAATGGAAAGGTGACCAGATTTTTAAGATGGAAACATTTCTTGATAATAATAATAATAATAATAAATTATTACAACTTTGAAAGCTAACTATTTAAAAATTTAAGCTCATTTTGAGCAAGAAGTATGTCCTTTCTGCAAATGTAACTATTGCAAGTGTAATTGTTTAGTTGATCATTATATATTTAATTAATTTTTATTATTCATATTGGGAGTTTCACCCACGTGGTATAGTTAAGATACGTGTAGTCCCTACGTCATGACGGTGGAACTTGAACGTTTAAAATTGTGTTAAAAAGTTAACAGTATTACTTTGACTAACATAAATAGTTAGTATGAATACCTTGAAAACGATAATGGTGTCTCTTTTAATAATTGATGATACTAGTGCTCTGCTCTGGTAGAGGTTATATTCTTCACATGTGCAACATGCGGTTCTGCAGAACTAACTTCCAGGTAATATAATTATTAAAACAAAATTAACTATAGTGAGAAAAATAACTTTATTGTTATTATCGTGAAATAAACTTACTCATAATGTAAAATTATATTTGGTCTTATCCAGGGCCGTCCTTAGCTGACACGGGGCCCGGTGCGAGGTAGGGAGCGGGGCCACCCTCGGTCCGTTCGCGATCGCGTTCCCCCTAAGGCCGGCCCTGGTCATATAGTTTACAACCAAACAACAGCATAATGACCTCAAAAGAAGTCAAACGATGGTGATTTATTTTCTCACAAGAGAAATTTTTCACCATCGGAATTTTACCAAGTTAATAAGGGCAATAATAAATTTGACTTTATCATTTTCGCTAACGTTAGTAAGTTAGTAAGTAGCCTACTTCAATGTTGCAAACATATGCAAACGCAACGTTCACATTAATAACCTTAAATTGCAGTTTTGTTTGGATTAATAAAAACAAACAATTTTAAGTTCAATGTTCTGTCATGTGTTATGCAGTAACCTTTATGGATATGCAGATTGGACGCAGGGGCGCAACTGCACATTTGCAGAGGGGTATGCAAGATCAGTGTTGGCACCCCCCTGTATTCTAGTAGCCCCTAAAACTAACTCCTGCAGAAAAGTTTTCACCTGGCAGAAAAACAAATAGGCCTACTATTAAAATGAATTTCATGATTCCCACTATGATCACTAGAAGGCAGCAGAGGATCATTTATTGTCTCATTTACCATTTCCACTTTGTAATATAGTTATTTTCACACGTTTTGCTAATGGATTTATATTTAGACATAAAAAATTATAGCATTTAAAAATCTCCTTTTTGTCCAAATTCAGCATTGTTTTGTATTGAAGTATGGAGTAGCAAGAGTTTTCAACTCATCGGATCTGCTTGAATCACACAGATGGCCTATTTTGAATTAAAAACGGCAATTTTCGGTGAAAGGTGGCTAGTTTGTATTGTTTACTATCTTCAGTTTCTCTGAAATGTAAATCAAATGCACATTCACAAACGTGTTTTTTTTTTTTTTTTTTTGAGCAATTGAGATACTCATAAATGACCTGATATTTGCCCTCTTCGGCAGTGGCCAGGATGTTTTCATAGGGGTGGCCAGGAAGGGGCCAGCAACCAGTCTGGTGGCAAAGAAATCTTCGTTATTTCAATATAGAAATGTAGCTTATTTGACTATACTGGACTGTTTTAGTGCCTAAAACACAACTGAATACAGTTAATTTGTACGTAATTGTAATTGAGAATTTGTGAAGTTGTGAATTAGATCAGGTAATTGAGTGAATATGACCATTTACTATTATTTTTGTATTACCAGGTATTTTAATAAAAGGGCTCAGTCAGTCAGCTTGGTTCTGGGTCTCAGCACCCCAAAAGCTTGTTCTCCATCATTGCACAGGACTACTCATGGATGAGACATGCAGATAGGCCTAGTTCAAAGTTTAGCCAACATTCACTAAATTTTATATAATCAATGAACTCTGAAAAAGCAAACAGTCAATGTTTAACACTATTCGTTGTCAAAATGAATTAATTGCAACAGTTTTGTCAAACCTAAATCGAGCTCCTATTAACCTAAATAAAAAAAGTTCTCCATCTGCAATAATGTGAAAAGGGCGGAAGTCTACAGCACATAAATGCCAGAATGTAAAATTAGTTTATTTTAAATAATGATCTTTAAAAAAGCATCATATGATCCCTTTAAATATAATTTCATTTTCGTACTTTACAAATTACAAAGTACAACTGCTCTAGCTGTGCTCACATTTAGCCTACTTGTGCATTAAATTAGGCTACAAATAAAAAAAATACATAGGCTATCATCTTGAGCCCTATTGTGATCTCGAATTGCAGAATATTTCAGTACATGCATTTGAGAGACGTTTAAATGTGATGCATGTATACATGCATGCACAGTTTTGCAGCTTTAATCGCAATTTTGGTCATTTCATGACTTAACTGACGATGTGGTTTCTTGTGCGGGTTATTTATGATAGAGCGTGCGCCCCATATTCGCGTACCGTTGAAGAGCGTGCGCCGTGAGCACGGTAAAACAGGACAGGACAGGGGGAAGTTTGTTTTACTGACATATCTCATCAGACCGCAGTTCACTGTTGTTCTATTGAAGCTCATTTGGCACCTGTACCTTTTCCGCACTCGTTTGACTCGCGCCTGATGCTGAGGGCAAGTTGAAGTGCGTCTGAAAAGTATCCCGTTTGTTGTGGTCGTACGGCGGTTCCGCGTCTTAACAAGTTTATAATAAATACATTTTTTTAACTCATTAAAAATGATAAAAACCGTTCAATAAAAATTTTTCATTACATTATTTTTAACAACTAAGCTTTTGATTATTTATAACGTTTTATTACATAAGATTTTCACATAATGATTTCGGCAAAATGGCGCCCCCCTATGCACTGCATATACTGCATACCCCGTTTTTGCGCCACTGATTGGACGTCCAGGAAACTACACAGAGATTGTTTTTTTGTTTTTTTTTACTTTTTAAAAAAAAATATTATTATGCTTCCATTTACAACAAACAAGGTACATAAACACATCACATAATCTAACAACACGTGAACAGCCTTAGGTTGAGCATAACCAGTGACAAACAAGATCACAATAAACCAATAATAAAGAAGAAAAGAAAAATAAATAAATTAAATAGAACAAATAAAACAAACCAAAAGGGGCTTTTTACATTAGTT